GCCCATCTTGTTTGATCGATGTCCTCCAAGATGGCCCCAAGAGCGCTCCAAAGCTTCAAGAGCGCCTCATGAGGGCCCCAAGAAGTGCCAGGAGGCCCCACGAGGCGCCCAAGAAGCCTCCATGAGGCCATCAAGAGACCCCCAAGAGGTTCCTGGAGGTACCCGAGACGCTCCAAAGGCCCCGGGACCGCCAAGAGGCCCCCAAGACGCAAGAGAGGCCCAAGAGAGCCCCAATACGGCTCCAAGAGCACCCAAGAGTGTCCCAAGAGCGCTTCAAGAGGGACCCTTCCTCTGTTTGCTGCCTACTTTCCTGATCGAGGCAATTACTCTGGGCATCGTCTCTGGATGGGCTGGTGGGGTCACGCGAAGCATCTAGGATTTGCGGGTCTGCTGTTGCCCAATTTGTCGAGAACACTTGTGCCGTCAGCGTCTACAATACGCAGCGTCGCGAGCACGGCTGAATAGCGGCAGGGCGTGCTGGCCTTACAAACACAAACAAACGCCCCTCCCCCCAGGAGGTCAAGCACATTCGCTTACGGGGACAGCAGATCCCCTGCGGCCGAGGCGAGGGGAGAGAGACAGAGAGACAGAGAGACAGAGGACAGCACAAAAGAAAGAGAAAGAGAGAGAGAGAGAGAACAAAAACAACTAAAATATATATAGAGAGAGAGGGGGAGAGAGAGAGGGGGAGAGAGAGAGGGAAAGAAGGAGAGAGAGATAGAGAGGGAGAAGAAGAGATGAGAGAGAGAGAGAGAGTCGGACAACAAAAACAAGTGAGGCAACGCCCCCTCGCGCAAACGCTACCCGTCCTCGACACAAGAGGGGGCCCAAAAACCGCAAGATCGAGAGGGAAAGGAGAGGGCGCTGGGGAGCGGGCCAGGAGATGGAAACCCGCGTGCGGCGCACACGCTGAGCACGCGCACGAACTGCGAAGCATCAGCGCGCACAAACACTAGCGACCTGCATTGCAGCCCGCCGCCCGCGCCTGATGCTATGTCCCAGTGTGCTCGTGTTGCCCCGCCGCAAACCAGCGTCGGGGGCTACGCTTTTATGAAATCCGCCTGCCCAGTCGCGACTGACACTGCGCCCCGGCGCGCTGCTGCTTGCCGCAAACTAGCGTCCAACGGCTGGCGCAAGGATGGTTGCACAAGGGCGGGCCCTCAGGCTGCGCGGCTTAGGTCCCCTACTCCCTGTACCAGGCTCTAGGACTTTAGACCCCAATCTCAGACGTATAGTACTATCTCATAATTCTTACTGTCCGCGCGAGGGGGGTCGCCGAAAACCACACTGGTCACCACGCCCAAGTCGCGTTGTCCCAATTTCTGGTGGGCCTAGCACACGGTTAAAACGCGAGAGATGCGCGCCACCGAAACAATGTTCCTTAGTAGAATACACAATGTTCGCACCTCGAGGCCAGTATCCTTTATGCTTTTTATTGGAGGCTCGCGGTCAGGCACCAGAATCTTTGCAAATGTAGCAACGCTTGCGCGGATAGCGTGCCAAACATGATGGGCCAAAATGATGGGTTGACTGCCACCCGCTCCCGCAGGATGCTCCCAGATGTCTCGAAGACGACGCTTAGACACGCTGACACGGCTCTGGTATCCTCCATTCTGATAAAAAGAGACGGCGGCAAACGGCGGCAGAGGACGAAGCTCTGACGGATATGACCCGCAACGTTGCGTGCAATGCAACAAACGTGCGCACCGACGTTCTAGCTCCGCGATCTAGTGTCAAGCTCCGTGGTCAAAAGTCAAATGTCCGACATTCGCGGGCATACCAGAACATACGTGCGCAGAAACATGCAGATCAGGTGCCAGTGTCAATCACGTCGGCAAAACAGACGCAACGCAGCAGCTCTTCAAGCTTGGCCGCGCAGGTTTCACGGCGGGGGAACAAGCGCAAAAGCAATCCTGCATTGCAGCAGCGTTGCTATAACACATGTGCTGTAAAGCGCTGCCAAGCTGGCATCGACCGACACTCAAGGAGAACCGAAGGACCAGTACGTCAAAGCGAAGTGTTTCCTTTCGCGCATAGCAAACAGCAGGGCGAAGGTATTGGACAAGTGAAAATGGCGACCACTCATTTTTTAGGCCACCAGCGTGTTGAACGAACCAGGCACTCCCACTGCAACTATGGCGGCATAAAACAGTCGACACAAGAGCTCTACCAGGGCAATGAAAGCACAACGAGTGGCGCACAAAGATTGCACAGGCAGTCCTACCACTCCTCCTCACAGGGCGCGAATCAATTGATTCTAACTCCTGGTGGTCTCCAGGCAGTTAGATGGTGGGAGATGAACAGCCACAGCCCAGCTCAAGACAAACAGCTTGGCAAGAAGTGCAAGTCGAACATTCTGTTTTCAAGCGGTGTCCTTGATAGAGCCGAACGTCGAAGTCCCACTGGCAACCTGCGCCAGACGCTCTGAGTACCCGGCGACGAAGAGGAACCTCACGTCGGATCGCAACACCCGGGACGCGGCAGAGACGATTGTGCACCCGTGCGCAGTGACAACAACTATGGCAAGTTCGTGTCGCGACGACTTCGGCGTTAGCGTCTGAGGCCGCGTGGATTCTTCAACCTGGAGCGATCGCGGCTTCCCGATAGCGCAGATCTTTCGATACGGGGCGATTCTGGGTCACTGGCGGCGTTCAAACTTGACCGCCCGCGCTGGAGTCGCCGCCGCGTCAGCACGACGCATACCTGCCGTGCTGGTGCCGCTGGGAGCAGACCAGGGCGAGCGGGGGCGTCGTCGACAGTCGGCGCTCGGATCGCAAGCAAAACACGTCCTGGATATCTTCGGCGTCTTGCCCACCACGACGCCAGCTTGCGGCGGCCACGAGGCCCGGCGTTGGAGAGGGTAGACCCAGGGAAAGCAGCAGCGGCAAACCGCCCTTCGCCTCTCTGCTTCCTCCTCCTCCTCCTCCTCCACATCCTCCTCATCCTCCCCCTTGACTGCTGGCAATTTCCAACACTCCCCTCGCCATTCATGTGTCAGCTTGGTGGCCGCGGCCTTGACCCAAAAGCCGCTGCTGTCCAAGCCGGACTCGAAAAATAAATATTTTCAGGCGGCGACCAAGATAGACCGCACTGCTCCTATCTGTGGGTGGTGCCTATTAACAAGCGCACGCTAAGAGAACATCCCGGAGTGGTCCAAATCAATTGCGGCTATACTTGAAACTCCAATCACACATGATCACATCGCTCCAATGACACACGAATGCTGCGATAACGAATTACGCCAACCAGTGACCACAACGCTTGAACCAAGCAAGGCTGACCCGTCAGAAACTCGGTTGGCACAGTGGCGCCAGGATATTCCGTGAACGGCTAGTGTGACGCCTGTCAAACATCGGGAACAGATGCACTGTCACGCCCCGCCGCGTTGCGGCGTCCCCTCTGGCCAGGGCACGTTGCGGTCCGCTCGCGCAGCCGCACAAATGGGGCTGGGGTGGGTGGGGCATCCGGGACCAGACAACCACGAGCCGATGTGACCCCGCCGTCTTGGCCAGCCGTGCGGGTCGAGACCGAGCTGGCAAATGCAGCGCAGGCCAGTCCACAAGAAATCTTCCTCAAGAAGCCCAACCCTGAGACCCCAGAACGTCCTTCGGTTCCTGGTGCGGGAGCGTCGCGCCTCCCACAGCAAAAGCCCCTCGGTGGCCCCCGCCGAGGAAAACTGCGCACGGCCAAGCGATGCCGAGAGCTCCGACCGCGCGCGGAGCTCTCGGAGGCCCGAGCCGAGCCTCCGGGCAGCGGCCCCGCCCGTCTGAAGACACGCCGAAGGAGACGAGAAGTCGCCTCTCCAATCAAAAACCCTGATAAGGACGCGCGGTAAGGACGCAAGACCCTTGGAAGCCGACGTTGGGGTTTCTGGGGCGGCGGACGACGAAAACCGCAAGGACGCAAGGGTACCCTGAGCAAAGTCGCGCGTCCTTATCAGGGTTTTTGACTGTACACCACGTCGCTGGGTGGGCTGGTGGCGACATCCGAACTCTGCCCGGCCCCCGCAGGACATCGATTCAAGTGAACCGATGGGAGGAAGGGGTAGGGGTTGGCATTTAGCCACGTGTTCGAAGAATTCCGAACCCTAGCCCCCGCCGCCCGTCGAGTTGCGTGAATCGTTGATTGGCGAGGGCAGGGTTCGGATTTCGCCGCCGAGTGGGGCGGCCCTTTGTCGCTGGGCCCTCTCCACAACTGACGAGCGAAGAACACACACACACACACACACACCTGCCCGTGGGGACATCACGGGGATCGTAGGGAGGAGGACTTGCTGTGGGCAAGGGCGCGGGTTGTCACACCCCGGGGTAGGCTCTCGTTCGAGCGGGGACCCCATCCGACAACGCGCACCCATGGCGCGCTCCGCCCCCACATGGGCACGTGTGCTTTGCACTACGGTCGACAACGACCAACGACTACCACTTACGACGAGGCCAACATCAGGATCAATTCGGACGAGAGCTCATCGGAAATCTCTCAGATCTGGCGGCTCTGGAGGATGTCTCGGGCGCCGCCGCCTCCTCAGAGCATTCTGGAACGCACTGGAACGAATTTATCCTCGTCCCAGCCCCGCCCGACCACTGCCCACCCACCGACGCGGTGCCCTTCGACCGACGCGGTGCCCACCCACCGACGCGGTGCCCACCCACCACTGCTTGAGCCTTGCCTACAAGAAGAACAAACTGCATAAACAGAATCCTTTGACGCTCTGCGTGGATTTCTTGGATCTGCGCTGGACCCCCTCCCTGGCGCTTGGAGCGCGCCAGGGGCGGCGCTGGAGGTGCCGCCGGGGGGCCCCAGCGCGAATCCAAGAAACCCGCGCGGAACGCCACAAGTTTTCTTTCTGTTGTTCATGCCGTTCTTTGCTCTTCGACTGCCGTCCCTTGCCGAGCAGGGGCACCCGCGCGGCACCGCGCCGGCGTTCCTCCGAGACGCTGCGCGGGAGGATCGGGCGTGCACGGCTCGGCGCCCCCGCGCGGGCGCCGGCGCGGGCGCGCGGCTCAGCGCACGAAGGTCATAGGCCGGCTCGCCTCGCGGCGGCGAGGGGCGCCCCCCCGCGGCGCGCGCGCGAGGTCAACGAGGGGCAGATGTTGGCCGCAGTCGTTCCCAAATCGTCCGCGAAGGCACACAGCTGCTTCGGGAGCTCCGTGGGAATAGCCAACCCGTATCATAAGGATGCGCGGTAAGCATACAAGGGCCTTGGAGGGCCATGTTGCCGTTTTTCGAACGAGGCTGGCAAGCGAAAGTCGCTAAGGACGAACCGAAGGGGCAAGGATGTAAAGGTACCCTTGGGAAGGCTGCCATCCTTCTCATGCGGCTTGCCCGTAATAGCCAGGTATCGGAGCAGCGGATCGAGCGCCAAGGCGAAGAGTACTCCCGAGAGGGGACAGCCATGCTTCGCTCCACGCCAGGGCCAAAGGAAGAACGGGTGGAGCCCTTGCAGCCCACCAGGCACACGAGGTTAGAGTAGAGCACTTGAGCCCGCAGGCGCGTGCGCGGCGCACTGGGCCCTGAGATCCGACGTCTCGAGCACATGGCAGCGCCGGGAGAGATGAGGACTGGAGCCGCAGAGACCCCGTCCTCCTTCTGCGACGTGTGGCGAGCCGGGTCCATCTGTGAGGGCCTCGGGGCCCGCAGCTGGGCAAGAACGCCCCGCTGGAAAGAGCTGCGGCGCCAGGCTCTCCGAGGAGGGCCACCGCGGGGCTCCGGAGCCGCCACGCGGGTGGCGTCGAGGCGGGAGACTTGCTCAGGCCGCCATTGGGCCCGTGGGCGCCTGCAGCGTCGCGGGCTCTCTGGCCTCGCCCATGGCCCCGCTGCTCCGACGATCTACCCTCCGCCTGCTGCGTGGGGCGAGGTGCCGCAAAGGGTGCCGTGCCAGGAGCAGGGCTCCCGGCGAGACCGTCGGGAGTCGAGATGCGGCCCCAGCGAGCAGGGCAGAACATCTGCCTGCGTCCCCCGCTGTGGCAGCGGATTCCAAAAACGAATCTTCTGACTCAGCAAAACCACATACCCACCCTCACCAATAGAGAAAGAAAAAACGGCATAAGCATATACTGTTGGCGCTACGCGCGGATTTCTTGGATCTGGGCTAGAACTCCCTCCCTGGCGCGCGGAGCGCGCCAGGGGCTGCGCTGGAGGCGCCGCCGGGGGGGCCCCAGCGCGGATCCAAGAAATCCGCGCGAAGCGCCAAAGGCTTGAGTTTATGGTGTTCTTCTTCTCTTCGAACCAGGATCTTGCAAGATCCCGCAGGACCCTGCACCCAAACCCGGGTGAAAGCAGCCCTGGCTCTGCAAGACCCTGCAAGATCCGGCGCTCTGGCTGACCCCCGCTGGCGTTGACCTCCGTCTCCTGAGCCCCGACCAAGAAACGTGTTGGCCCCGCCGGCCGACCTCCCTCCCGACTTCGGGCGGGGGCAGGGAGCCGTGTCCTCCGGGTCCCGCGGCGCCCATCCCAACTCTTGGGGGGCTCTGCTGGCAGTGCCGCTCACCCCGTCCCGGTGCAGTCCGCCCGTATGGAAGTGATGCGCGGTAGGGATGCAAAGGGCCAAGCCCGTGTCGAGGCTTTTCGAGCGGGGCGCGGCCAGCGAATGTGGCCAAGGGCGGACCGAGGAGGCAAGGATGCAAGGGTACCCTTAGGAGGGTTGCCCACCCTTCCTATGCGGGTTGACTGTTGGGGTCGGGATGATGCCCAGTCAGAATCGACCTGGGAAATCGGATCGAATCAGAATGTGCGAATCGAGCTGCATCGGCACGGAATCGAAGCCGAATCGCATCGGCAGCGCCAAGATGTGCAACCACGCCATGCAAACGTGGGGCCGCATGGGATTGTCGGAATAATGAAATCGGATCGGATCTAACTGGACGGAACATTTATCGAAGCATCGCCTTCCTAGTTTTGCTCTCTGGCATTATCCTCGTCTTTCAGACGGCTCCAAGACAGCCTACGAGCGCCCTAAAACGGCTACAGGGCACCCGAGACAAAGTGAACGAGAGCATGAACGCGCAGCTTAACCATAGAAAATAAGCCGTCATTGACGCATCAACTTGCAGAGCATGCGGACCTCGCCTCGACATTCGGTACACAATCAGCCGAGGCATTCCTACTGGCCGTTCGGGCCGAGCACACAATGGGCTTGCGAGATGCGAGCGGATGCTGCACTTGCTATCAGCAGCGAAATCAATACAATACTCGCGGAGGAGAAGGTTTCAGCTCGCTGAGGGGCAGCGAACGCGATCTGTGTTTCTGGGGCGACGGCGGAGGAGGCAATGCTCGTAGGGTAAGAGCACACCTAAGCAGCCCAATCGTCGGTAAGAGCAAACCTAAAGGTCCAAACTTGTCGCGAATGGGTGTCGAAGGATTGTTATTGACGGATCAAGCGCGCTCACTGAGCGTATTGGGGACGATCCTCTCCCCGCGAAGAGAACTCAGGACGGGCCACTCGTGGCACCTCCCGCGTCGCGTCCGCCCGGCAAGCGCGGAGCGCCCTGCCAGACGGACTCGAGCGACGCCACGGAGGGCTCACGAGGGCCTCGGCCTGCTCCGCTGGCGCGGCGAGGGCACAAGGAGCAAGCGGCGAAGGCGTCTTGGAGTCTGGTGCTGTGCTCCCGCCGGTTGCCTCGCCCTGCGACAGAACACGACGAGGACTTCGAACCGCACGGCCCAACTTCGTCTAGTCCACCACGGTGGAGCCAGACTCCCACTGCAACCACCTCACGCGGGCAAACACCCTGAGGGTTCCCGAGACCGGCTCGGCCTACTCCGCGTGCTTCGCTGGTGCGAGAGGCGCAGGGCGAGCCGTCGGTGGAAGCTCGGTGCACTCCGCTGCCCCAGCCGAGCGCTCGCCCTCGCCCTGCTCCCGCACCGTGCTCCTCCTATGTTGCCCCTCGTGGTCCGGTGCGCGCCTTGAAGGTGGTGCGGAGCTTCTTGGCGACAAGGGGCAGCTTCGTGATCACCGGGTACTTGAGCCCCGAGTCGTGCATCTCGGTCACGTGGTCTCTCCTGTCTGAAGGGGCCCAGGGACACACACACACACACACACACATATATATATATATATATAGATATAGATATAGATATATACACGCACAAATGACTGGATGCCCCATATTCTCCCATATCTTCTGGGTTCCTGTCTTCTTCCGGGTTCCTGCCTTCCCCCCCACGTCCCATATTTCGGAGACCACCTGCGAACCCTACCCCTACCCCTCACGATTTCTGAGGGGGAGGGTGGGGTTCACTTCGCTCGGGAGCTCCGGAACACAGTGAACCCCACCCTCCCCCTCAGAAATCGTGGGGGGCAGGGGTAGGGTTCGCAGGTGGCCCCCCAATACTTTCCCACAGCTTCTGGGGAATCGACGATTCCCTGTGTCTGTGTGTCTGTGTCTGTGTGTGTGTTCCCCTCCTGACTGTCGGCGGACCCCTTATAAGGGGGCTCCGCGCCTCTGCCGGCCGTCTCCCACGCCCGTCCCCGCCGCGCCTCCTCCCGCTGCTCGGCGTCCCTGACTCCTCCCCCCCCCAAGGGCCAGGCTCCAGCACCCGGGCAGCGAGGGCAATCCTGAAGCACGGCTCCTCTCGAGCAGCAGTCGGCTGCAGCACTGTGTTGTGCCCCAAAAACGGATATGTCCCCGTCGGATCTACAGCGAATGCGTAGAGTGCTCCCTTAGTCTACGGAGCATCCCACGTCTGTCTTGAAATCTGACAGGGGAAATGAATTCTGGGGCAAATCGATTCTGCAGTCGATCACTATACTCGTCCTCAGCAGTCTGGGTGAAGAGGGAGGGCCGCGTGCCCAGTCGGCCATCATCCCTCCTCACTCCTGCCGCGAAGCCTCTCAGAGCCCCCTGGCCAGTGGCGGCACACATCTATGTACTCTCAGCGCTCAGAACAGAATCTGAGAACTCCGAGTCTCTCCTGGAAGGGAGAAGAGGGGTCGTTATGCGCCTCCTGCGCGCAGGAACTCCATGTGGCTTGACTCCAAAGACCTGCCCAACCCGATCTCGATACCGAAACGTGCTCCTCCCGAGAAACACCAAAATCCACCACCGTGCCTCAAGCGCTGAGTGGCATGTCATCCGGTCCTTGACGGTCCGTGGTATACATACCCCATGACAAATCGGCATGTAATCGGGACGCTGGATCGAAACGGAGTGTGCGTTGGATCGGGCTGGATCGGCACGGAATCGAAACCGAATCGGATCGTTCGCGCACAAATGCACAATTAGGCCGTGTAAGCATCGGACCGCATCGGGACGCTGGGACATCGAGATCGAAACGGATCCAGTCAGGTGAACTCAACGTCGAATCTGATAGCTCGATCGAATCGAAACAGGCCGTGCTCGGCGACTCCGAAGGGTGTGGTTTGCAAAGGGTGTGGCTTGCAACGGGCACCCTGGGGGGCACCCTGGGGGGCTGACGGGGACCTCGATAGAGCTGTCTGCCGCGCCCCGAAGGGCTCGACGAGGACAGTGTCGTGCCCACCAGGCTCCGAACCAGATCGCAAACCACACTCCAGCGTAACCATACCCTTTTGTAGTCGCCGACTGGTACCCTCGATTTCCAGGCACTCTGGGGGTATCTCTGGGCTTGCCCCGCCTCTGCCCCCGAGGCATCGGAGCCGTGGATTTTCGGGGATCGATTGGCCTGGGTCAACCCAGACCCCGGTCAGTAAGGCTTCACAGGCTACTGCAAGATCCTGCGGGATCCTGCAGGATCATGCGCCCAAGCACGGGCCAGTGCGCCCCTGGCTCCGCGCCTCCCTCCGGCAGGGCCAGAGCTGGCCTCACGGGGGCCCGTCTTGGAGTGCTCCTGGAAGTCTGCTGGGCCATCCTGGGGATCCTGGGGGCCGGCTCAAGAGGCACAACCTGTCAAACCAAACGTGGCCGGGCAAGAACGCGAAGCGCCGCTTTCATGCAGTGGCCCGGCGCGTAGGGCGAAGATACAACAAAAATAGACAGGAGGACGACACTGAGGCGGGTGAGGACGACGGCGCGGAGCACGAGGGGACGGCGATGAAGACCAGGAAAACTACGAGGAGGAAAACAAGGACAGATGCAAGAAAGATTGTGTCGCCGAGGCAAAGTCAGCACGGCGTGCCTCCGTCCCGCTGCCACCAGGGAAAAGCGGCACCGCCACCACCAGGGACCACCAGAGGGAGGAGCTCGAGGAGGGTCCACCTGGTGGAGTGGCCTCCCCCTCTCGCTGGAGACACCCCCTATCCCCAGCTCGGGGAGGCATCGTGGACCTCCTCGCTGCAGGTGCACCCCGGGTGGTGCGCGCGGGGGCGCGCGGGCGCGTCGGCGGGCACGGGTGCGCGCAAGCGTTATGTCGGGCCTGTCCCCCTACAGGGGGATAGTTTTTTTCCTACGGAATATAAAAAAATACCCAAAACATAATCAAAAACAAATCCAAATGATACCGGAGAAAAAACCCAATAAGAATTTGTTTCGGCTATAGGGCTATAGGGCTATTGGGCTACAGGGCTATAAGGCTACTATAGGGCTATAGGGCTATAGGGCGATAAGGATATAGGGCTATAAAGCTATAGGGCTACAAGGCACCCGGCACCCGGGCACCTGGGCACCTGGGCCCGGCCACCGAATCGGCGGCGAACCCGGGCACCCGGGCACCTGGGCACCCGGGCCCGGCCACCGAATCGGCGGCGAACCCGGGCACCGAATCGGCGGCGAACCTCACCTCAGCCTTTAATCCGCTAGGACCCCTACAGAGGCAAGCTCTGATTGGGGAACATAGTCCAGGGACTATTTTTCTAGCATGTTTGAACCTTTGTGGGGTATTTGAGGGGTATCTTTTACTTCTTTCGTCGAAAATCCCCCTGTAGGGGGACACGCCCGACATAACGCAAGCGCCCCAAAAGCGCGCACAAGCGCGCAGGCGGGGCGCGGAGAGGCGTCAGACGGCGTGGGGGAACGCACGGACGCGCGTGGGCGCCTCCAGGCACGCGCGGGCGCGTGCACGCGCGCGTGCGTGCGGGCGGGCGCGCAGAACTGCTCGAGCCTGGAGTAGCGCGAGCACTCCGTGGACCTCAGACGAGAATCTGAGCTGAGAGGAACTCGGGCGCACGGCGGAGCCAGTTTAGGGGGAAAAAAAACCTACCTCGCTTTTGACCACCCTCGCTTCCAAGAGATACCAAGCGATGCCAAACTACGGCCTGTACTGGTCAGGCCGCTTGACGAGGAGGCGCGTGGTATGACTTGGTTTTGCCTGGAAGCGAAAGCGGGGTAGGTAATTCACGGTCTTGGCCGACCCGACCAGCACGGACAGTGTGGTCGTGTCGCTTCTCCTTCCCCCGATCAGGGTGCGGAGGCCCACTCCGACGGCTGCGACCGCGCGCAGCAGACGGGCCGACGCCCCGAGGGGGCGGAGCCCTGCGCAGAGGCCCCAGCAGCGGAGGCCAAGAAGGCAGCCCCCGCTGCCATCCCTACAGCAAGAGCTCGACCACAAGAGACCCTCCACAAGAGACCCAACCCTGAGACCCCAGGCCGTCCATTGAGTTCTGTTGTTTGGTGTGGGAACGTCACGGCTTCAATAGCAAAATCATCGACGCCCAAGAAAGCCAGGGCACCCTGGAGGCAAGCAGGGTGCTTCTTGGCATGGGTTTCCACTCCAGCTCTGTGGGCCGCTGTCAGCTGGCTCTCGCCTGCTGCGCGGGAGGGGGGTCGCTCTCCCCCCCAGGGGCCGCCCCTGCCCAGCCAGGGGTCCAAGGGCTGGCAGGCGACGGGGATGATCTGGCCGCTGGGCCCAAGGACGATCGAGCCAGCTGTTCCTCCTGCTCCGCGTCCTCCTCCTCCACCTCCTCCTCCTCATCCTCGTCGTCCCGCTCCTCCTTGTCCTCGTCCCTCTTCCCCCCTTGGACCTGATTCCCTGAGATCCTGCAGGCGCTCGCGGGGATCGCCGTGGCGTGGATGATCTGGATCGAGCCCGCCTGCGCGCGGTGGCGGCCAGCCATCTCCTGTTTGGGCTGGCATCGGAACGCTCGGCGTCGCTGCGCACAAGTGGGGCCATGACAAATGGGGTCGGAGGATCTCGCCGCATCGCCGATACAACGGCGACGTCGGGATGAACACAATGAGGCAACGGATGCCGATCCATCGGCGATGCAGCGAGATCCCCTGAAGCGAGTCAGTTTAAATCATGTCTTCCTGGTCAAACCACGAGGGCGCATACACCGATCCTGGGCCCAAGATGGGGTCGGCCAGGATCGATGAGATGGTCAACTGGCGTCCCCCGACTTCGGGAGGGCTGGCGTTGGTCGGGTCGGACAAAGGTCGGGATCCTCCAAAGGGGGATGACCCTGAGGGGGGGCGTGAGTTCGATCCGTTGGCGCACCAAACTGCTGCAAACAGATGCCCCCGCACGCCCCACCAATCGGCAATTATCGGGAGCTGCTGGCGGCTGGCGGGCATCTGTCTTTGGCGGTTCGGTGCAAAAACCGGTCGAACTCACACACACCCTGGGGCACACCATCGTCTGCGGGCTCCCGAGAGGGGTGGGGGAGCTCACGGGGGGGTCCGCGAACCATCTGCACGCACCCGGTGCTCGCGGGGCGCCTCTTGGCCCCGAAAGAGAACCCGTGCATCGAGGAAGGCGCCCGGCGGCTGGGCCGAAGTCCGCGGCATGCGGCAGGTTCTGTGCCCCCCCCCCTGGGCTCCGCCCCCCCGGGGTTCGTCCTACCTGCCTGTTTGGGAAGGATGCGCGGTAAGGATGCAAGGGCCTTGGAGGTCTATGTTCGCGTTTTTCAAACAAGGTTTGCCAGCCAAAGTCGCTGAGGTTGGGCCGAAGGGGCAAGGATGAAGGGGTAGCCTTGGGAAGGCTGCTCATCCTTAGCATGAGGGTTGACTGTACCCCTAGTGAGGTGTCGCAGCGGCCACGGTCCCTGCAATGTTGGGCGCCAAAACGCAGCCGATGGGCGACCCGAGGTGGGTCCTCAGGCCCCCTGCCCAGGGTACGTCTGTTCTGGGGTACGTTTGGCCTCTCCACGAACTGTTGGGGGATGTGCCGAGGTCATGAGCTGATGGCGATGGTGACGGCGGCGATGATCACGACACCCTGAGCTGACACCAATACGGCTCCTAACTCGCTAAGCACCATGGTATGTATGGCCTGCGCAATGCGCACAACACGAAGCACCGGACCGCAGCGGTGTTCAGTCCGGTCCCGAGGCCCCGTAAGGGCCCCGAGAGGGCGAAAACTACAGAAAAATTGGTGTCCCGATGTTTTCGAGACGCTGGACGACTGGGGAGGAGGAGGCGAGAAGCCGTCGGCGAAGGCACGATGTATTTTGTCGCCTAACCGCCCTAAACATCTGTGCCAGACCGTGCATTGGGAGCCTCAGGGCTCGACGTAAACAATAGTTTCCGTTTTCGTTTTGGTTTCGTGTTCCATGGTTCCGTGTTCGTTCCGCCCTTACTGCAAAACGAAACCATCACAGAACCGGTCCACGAGATCGCTTAATCACTGTTTAGTCGAGCCCTGGAGAGCCTCGGGCGAATACCTGCCAGACCACCCCAACCTAACCCGAAGACCCAAATTTCTGGTTGGGGGGGTACGAGTCCCACATTTGTTTTTCAATGCTCCCCGACGCCCCCCCGCTGGAAGTGTACGGCAAATTTGGGCCTTCGGGTTGGGTTGGGGTGGCTTGGTGGGTGGTGATCGGGGCACCGACGCGCGCGACGGCGCACTCCGGCAGGGTAGACTCAGCATCGGCGCTGGCACATGTGGACGGAAACTCGCCGAATCCCGCGCAATCCAGTCTTGTAGACTCGATTTCGTTGAATCTGGCTGAATATGGTCTCGTTCTGGGCCTGCCCTGGGCCAATCTGGCCTGGCTGCCCCCGAGTCGCCTCCACGCCCCCGCGGCGGCCCCCGCCGCGGCCCGCCCGCTGCCGCAGCCCACGCGCCACGAGAGCAAGGGGCACGCGCAAACCCGCGGGAGCCGAGGCCTCCGCTCGACCCCCCCAGGAGGCGCGAAGGAGTCTCGGGGGCTTCCAAACGGTGTGGTGACCACACCGTGTGGTGAGTCGCTGGGGATTCGGGGTCACCGCACGGCCTTGGGACTCGAGCCCCTCTCCGAGGATGCCTCGGGCGACAGGGGGCCTCCGGGGTCCCAAAACCGGGCGGTGGCGGACCGTGCGGTGAGGTCTTGGGGGACTTCGAGGTCACCACACGGTCCGTCACCGCCCCGCCTCGGGACTCCCAAAGGAGTCGCCCGCGCCTCGAGAGGACCCCGCCCTGCCCCGAGGGCCGCGCCGTCGCAGCCCGCTGCAGGGCAGCGCGCCGCCGAGGGGGACAGCGGATGGGGGCGCTCCTGGCCGCGGCGAGCCTCGGCTGGGAGGAGGCTCACCGGCCCGGGTCTGAGGAGCGGCCCGAGGGCGCACACATCGACACACATGAGCATCGTTTAACCGATCCCCATCCCCAGCGGCGTGGCCTGGGCCCCGCTGGCCGATTTAACCCCCAGATGGGGATCTAGGTCGTTCCCTTCGGGTTTCGAGGGGTGTATCCCCAACTGGGGGGGTAATTTGGTGGGGATCTCGAAGGGGATGGAGATGGGGACGGGGATCGGTTAACCGATACCGAACACAGGACACACAACATTCAACGCATTCAACACACACACACACACCACACACCACACACCACACAAACCAGACACACCACACACCACATAACACACACAACACACACAACACACAACACACACACACACACAAAACACACAACACACAGCACACACAACACACACACACACAACACACACACACAACACACACACACACACACAACACACAGCACATACACACAACACACACACACACGACACACAACACACAACACACAACACACACACACACACAACACACACACAACGCACACACCACAAAACACACAACACACAAAACACACACCGCACACACCACACACACACACACTAAACACAAAACACACAACACACACACACACACACCACACTGTGGAGAGGTCCACGGAGGTCCCAGAGGTGCGCAGAATCGCTTGGGACAGCGTGTCCTCAGAAGCACTGGGCATTTTGACAGTGTGGCGGTATCCTTGTTTCCCAGTATACGTGATGTTGCAAATAGAGTGCAGGGTGTGACTTGTTCTCTCCGCGAGCCAGACGAAGGCGGCCAACGAGCCGCAGCTAGATGGCCGGTCCCCGGTGTGCAGTTTGACCCCAATTAGGCTTGGGCTCCCTTGGGCGTTCCCCTGGGCTGTGACCTCGCCGTCTGCTCTTCCCGTGGGGCCTCGAATCGTCCCGCGGGCTGTGGCCTCGCCGTCTGCTTTTTCCGTGGGGACTCGAATCGTCCCGCGGGCTGTGGCTTCGCAGTCTGCTGCTTTCCGGGGAACCGCAATCGTCCCGCGTCTGTCTCGAGGTCGATCTGGTGGCGTCAATCGGCGCTCACCGCGGCACATCTGCCTCAAGTCTGATCTGGTGGCGCCATTCGGCGCTCACCGCGGCACGCCTGTCTCAAGGCCAATCTGGTGGCGCCATTCGGCGCTCACCGCGGCATGCTGCATACTTGCATTGTCTTGTTCCGTTTGGATGAGCATGCAACGGATCCGTAACCATGCTGGTTCAAGCCCAAACGGGCTTGTAGCTAAGAGGTGGTACTGTAACCTATCCTAGCGCAGACTGACACACACACACACAACACACACAGACACACTACCCACAGCACACACAGCAATCACAACACACACAACACACAACGCATTTAACACACACAACCCGCAACACACAACACACACACAAAACGCACAGCACACAACACGCAGACACAACACACACACACACATCACACAACACACCATACACACACACAACGCACACACACACACACACACACAACACACAACACATGCAACACACACAACACACAACATACACAAAACACACAAACACACAACACACAACACACACCACACAACACACTCAACACAAAACACATACAACACACAACATACTCACACAAACACACACACACAACACGCAGAACTCAAACAACACACAACACACATACACACCACGCACACAACACACACACACACCACACACAACACACACACACACACACACCACACACACAACACACACACACACCACACATAGCACACCACACCCACACACAACGCACACACACACACACCAAACACAGCACACACACACAACACACAATACACAACACACACACCCACACAGCACGCACACAACACACGACACACAACGCACAGCACATGACACACACCTACAACACACACACACATACACACAACACACAACACACACAGCACACAACACACACAGCGCAAGAACACCAGGCAGGAAACAATATACAAAACACACACGACACAAAAAACGCACACACACACACACACTACACACCCGAAACACACAACACACAACACACTCATCACGCACACAACGCAAACCGCACACAACACACATAACACAACACACATCAGAAACAACACTCACAACACACACACACATCATACAAAATAACACACAACCCACACACACACACACCACACCACACAAAACACACAAAACACACACACACACAAAACTCAACACACAGCACACACACACACACACCACACACACAGCACACACAACCACACACCACGCACCACACACCCCACACACACACACATACACACACACCACGCACCAAACACACACACACACACCACAAACACCACACACACACAACGCAGTGCACACACACAACACACAACACACGCAGCACACACACAACACACACACACAACACACAGCATACAGCACACACAGCAGCCACAGCACACACACACACACAACACGCAACACCCTAAACACACTCAACACACACAACACACAACACACAACACGCACACGCACAATACACAGAAATACACATCACACATAACACAGACAACACACACACCACACAACACATCACACACACAACGCACACAACACACGCACACAACACAACACACACCACATAACACACGACACACGACACACAACACACAACACACACATACAAATCACTCATCACACAACACAGCACACACAGCACAGGCACAACACACAGCACACAACACATCCAACACACACACACACACCACACACACCACACACAACAAACCCAACACACACACACATAACACACGACACACACCACACACAACACTCAACATACACACAACACACAGCACGCACAACACACAGCACACTCAACACACACACACACACAACACACACACACACAACGCACACAACACACAAAAACACGAAACAAACAGCACTCAACACACAAACAACACACACACACAACACACACTACAAACACAACACACCACACCTACACACAACGCACACAGCACACAACACACACACAACATACACAGCACAAAACACACAACACACAACACCCATAGAGCACGCACACCACACAATACACTCAATGCACTCAACACACAACCCACATACACACACAACACACAACACATACACACACAACACACACAACACAAACGACACACACACACAACAAAACACACAACACAACACACAACAAAACACACAATAAAACACACAACACACAACACACACAGCATACACCACACACACCACACCACACAAACACACAACGCTCACAACACACACACACACAACACAACACACAACACACAACACACAACACACGACACACGACACGCACACACACACACATACAACACACTCAACACACAACACACTCAACACAAACACAAACACACACACAACACACACACACACACACACACTCCCGAAGGGTCCTTGTTCCAGCGTCTGACTGTGCGTCACCTGACCACGCGCGCCGCGCCCCGCGACTCGCGACGCTCGGCTGTCTCCATGCCCTCGCGAGGTAACCCCGGAGATGTCGTCGCATGTGGTCTCAAGGACAGTCAACAATACAAGCCTCAGTCAGCCTCGGAGGCTTTCTCCTCCCAGGAATCCCCGTTACTGAAGGGCTTCGGCCTGTCTATGTGAAGAGTCGCCCAATCTCTACCACGCATTCTGAGCGGATCCAGCTAAATCCAAAACCGCGGAGCACAATTTGGCGCTGCTCCGTCTGGCTTGAGAGAGCCGCCGGGGCAACATGGACCAAGGCCGTGCACGGCGACAGCAAAACCGAAAACCGACCGAACCGACAGCGAAACCGACACAGACATCGGCAGGCCAAAGGCAGCCTGGAAGGGCGCCACGACGCGGCAACGACACCACAGCCGACCGAACCAAACCGACCGAGCGCAACCGACGGCGACGCAGCCGAGCCGACCGAGCCGCGAACGCCCTGGCAGACCCTGGGCGGGGCAGGTGCCCAGCTTAGGCCGCGGAGCGCAGAGCGAGACTGCCCCCGCGCCCGCGCCCCCTGGAGAGCCAGACGCTCGGCGCGCGCGCTCAGGATCGCCAGCGGGCTCGCCTTGGGCATCGCCCAGGGAGCTCCGAGGGGGAATCTCGAGGGAGGTGGGTCAACGATGGGGGGGGGGGAGTGTCCTGGCACGGGGGGGTCAGCATCTCCCTGGAAGCAGCGACGCGTCGCCAAGATGGATCGGCAGCTGGCCCCCGATGGCGGCTCCGCACGCTCCTGGGCGGGAAGGGGCTATCGTTAGGTCGGGCATGTCCCCCTCCAGGCGGACTTTGGGCGAAAAATGAAAAACAGCCAAAAAACGCTCCAACAATAACCAAAAAAGGTCGAACAATCGTCCCCAAATCATTGCTTGCCGACGAAATCCCACGAAGCTGAAACCCCAAAATTCCACAGAAATCGTTCCGCAAACTCCGTTTTTCACTCTTACTGCCGCCCCAAGGGGTCGGCGGTGCGGCGTCAGCCAATGAACCATTGTTTGACTATATGTTGATATTCCTCCTGTAAGAGGGACAGGCCCGACTCGAGGCTACCGGGCCGCGAGTGGGGGTCGGCCGATTTGCCACCACCACGACCATAGGTAGGAGGGGGAGGAGGAGGAGGAGGAGGAGGAGGAGGAGGAGGAGGAGGAGGAGGAGGAGGAGGAGGAGGAGGAGGAGGAGAGGAGGAGGAGGAGGAGGAGGGGGAGGAGGAGGAGGAGGGGGGTGGGGAGGAGGAGGAGGAGGAGGAGGGGGAGGAGGGGGAGGAGGGGAGGAGGAGGAGGAGGAGGAGGAGGAGGAGGAGGAGGAGGAGGAGGAGGAGGAGAGGAGGAGGAGGAGGAGGAGGAGGAGGAGGAGGAGGAGGAGGAGGAGGAGGAGGAGGAGAGGAGGAGGAGGAGGAGAGGAGGAGGAGAGGAGGAGAGGAGGAGGGAGGAGGAGGAGGAGGAGGAAGGAGGAGGAGGAGGAGGAGGAGGAGGAGGAGGAGGAGGAGGAGGAGGAGGAGGAGGAGGAGCTCCTCACCCGCCCTTCTCCTCCGTCCTGGCCATGGTAGCGGCAGTGGAAAACCGGCCCAGCAAGTGGGGGCCGACGCACCCCCTCCCCCTGGGCCCTGCCCCAAGCCGCTGCTCCCGGCGAGAGGGCCGGGCCTCCGGGCCCCGGAGGGACTGCCCCTCGGCGCCCAGAAGTCGGGGGTACCCCCGTCGCGCCCGCCCTGTCGGCGGCGACGGTAAGGGCGACCAGGCCGATGCTGGACGAAAAGATGAAGATAGTCAAAAAGTACACTAAAATATTCAAAAATGATCCAAAAATCGTCCCAAAACTATTGTTTTACTATTTTTGCGTATTCCCCCTGTAGAGGGACAGGCCCGACTTGAGACTAGCCCCAGGGGCGGGAATTGCACGCATTTGCGAGGCGGGGACTCATCCACATCCACCGCCTGGGAGCCGACGTCCTGGCGCCCCAGCGGGCGGCGGACATGGATGTATGTCGGCCCCCGGGGGGCCCGAACATGTCCACATCCACCGCCTGCCGAGGCTCCGAAAACGGACCCTCCAGGCGGAGGTCATGTATAAATGCCCGCCCCGGAGT